AACTCAAAAAAAATTTACTCCTTTGCTTCTTTGATAATGAGTAATATTATTTTAAACAACTACACAAAATTTAAAAATAGTGAATGTCATAAAAATAAAACAGATTCAAGTAAAAAAAGAAAACTAACCACTTTGAAATAGAAAAAAAATGTACCTAGGTACTAAAAATAATAATAGAGGTATGTTTTAAGGGTAGCTTTCCCGAATTCTTAGAAAGTATTTATTTTTTTAACATGATAGGTAGTTGCTAGTTGTATAGAATTGTTTGACAAGACCTTGTACATATAAAATAGATATAGGATTATAACACTTTAGAATCTAGTAATATATTTATTTAAATCAATTATTTACTGTTCTTATTTACACAAATATTTATATTATTCATTGAATTACTGTTTTTACTTTTTAGTACAATATGATGCATTTTGTGTGATTAATATGTACAAAATATTGGTAATATTACAATAATTTTACTAACTACTAATATTTTTTCAAAGAAAACTACTTTTTTATGTAATTGAGATAAGAATTCATATCATCAATAAAAGTAAATAAACCATACGCGGAATTGAGGTTAAATAAAACAGCACCACTTGGCGGTAAGATTGCGGTGTTGCCTTTTTAACTTCATGGCTTGTAAGTGTAGAGGGCTGTGGAAAAGCTGAACAACCTACATCAGCTGCTGCTCCAACCCAACGGTTCGGGGTTTTCGAAAACGCCAATTATGACATCACGAATTGACTGGTGGCGCCATCTTCGAAAAAAAGCCTGAACTATATGTGCCAATTTATTTGAAATTTTATTCCAAAATCGGTTTTAGACTACAAAAAAAAAACGGCACATCAGAATTTGCTGAAATTTGGCATAAACATTCTTTGATCGATTATCTAGAGAATAGTGCTCTTATTTTTTCAATTTTTACCGTGGTTATTTCTATTTTTGGGAAATAGTTCATTTTCACAATATAGGCCAAAAAAAAATTCGAAATATGGAAAATCTAACTGCGCTATTCTCTAGATAATCGATCAAGGAATGTTTATGCCAAATTTGAACAAATTCTGATGTGCCGAAGACAGACATAAATTACAGCTTGCTGGTCGATGAGGAAGATTATAATAGGGCCTTAAATGTAATTAAGACAACACCAAGACACATATCTTTTTTTGTTTTTTAGTAATCACTTTCATGGTTTTCAAAGATTAGTGTTTGAAATTCAAAGCATTTAAATCGAATTCAAATTGATTACAAACAACAACACATAACCTTAACCTGTTAAATAAAACGCGAATTTCGCGCTTATGGAGACATGGGAATAATTTGCTCGGAAATAGCCACCAAAAAATGACACTTAAAAAATTCGCTTTCCGCGATTTCGCGTCTATGGAGACTAGGCTTTACTGGTTTGAAGGTTCGAAAATGTCACTTTACTTTTGTTCACTTTAAAGCAGGCCGAAAGTGACTGTTCTCCTGTCACTTTCGGCCTGGAAAACTCACTTTCGGCCCTGATAAATTGTTCATTCAACCTACATAAACACGTATCCAGGTGCAATGTTCAAAATAAAATGGTATACATAATTCGGTGGAAAGTTTTCACATTATTGTCTCGAGAATTGGGTGTAGTATGTCTCGACAATAATGAAACACTTTCCACCTCCGCATGTAATATTATTGCTTGTGCTACATCACATCTCTCTTTGTCAACCATCAAAAATTCGAATATCGATAGTAATCATATGAATTATGTCAAACACAGTGCGCGTGCAAAAGGCAGCAGCAAATTGCATTGTCTGTGATAAATTCAAGTATTGATGACATAGCCAGAGATTAGCTTCGAGTCGAACTTTGATCCGACCAAACTGAGCAAGAGCACTGTGGGCGACATGGGCGCCCTCTGCATGCTGCATGCATTATCTCTTTTGACTTTTTTCTATTTAGCCGTTTACGAAAACTATAATCGGGTTAACCCGATCAGCAGCCGAATGTTTTCTATCTTTCCCTAATAAATACGATTGAAAAAAGGCAATAGCCGCTTTCCAGTATGCACATTGGCGCGCTCTGGCGCGCTCCAGAGCACCTCGGGGGCGCCACGCACTAGATTTGTACCGTTCCAGTATCATGGCGTGAGACGCCTGTCTTAGTGTCAAATATGTCAAATTTTAAAAATAATTATTTGTTTGTTTGTGCAGTTTGTTTTTTTATTTATCAAAAATGAAAGAGAATCAAAACTATATATTTTAAAATGTTCAATCTTGAGATATAACAAGAAATAAATAGATAAATAGCCACCCACAGATGTGACAGCTGATAGGTTGACGCGTACGTACAGCTCGGGGGCTCAACGCCCCGAGTAGCTCCGGGCGTCACACTCCCATACTGTAAAGCGGCTAATATACTTCTGCTGGCGGTCGGGTTAGCCCGATCATAGTTTCCGTAAACAGCTTTTACTTTTACAATAGCCTCGTTTGCGGTAAGGATTCTGAACTGGTTCGAAACTATTTCGCATGCGCAGTTCAAGTAATGGCGTTCGCAGATCACAAAATTCCGAACTTTTAGTTACGGTTCTGGATTCGCGGATCAACCAGAATCGGGTCGGAACCGTTTCTGAACCAGTTCTGTTCTAGCGGTCTTAGGATTTTAGCAAGAACTTTAGGATTGACACATATTTAACGTTCGTTTACCTATTAGCCTATCCAAAACATGTGACTTTAACAAGCAAACAAAGGAATGTGTGCCTCTTGGCGGACATTTTAATTTAAGTTTGACAGCATTTTGGATAGTCTAATTGGACAGTCTGGAGAACTCGTTCCAAAACTGTTCGCGATAAAATAATGGCGTTTTCCATTTGTTGCACGGAGGACGGAGGTGCACTCAGTGCAATTTTCATTCCATTTGACTGCACATTATCAGTTTTTATTTTCCATTTGAAATCCAGTGCAATTATGTATGCACTCAGTGCGCATTTTTTGGCCCATGGAGAGCCAAACCATCAAAAAATATATCTATTGTTACCTTCAGAAGGCGGTGGAGGGGCGCCAAAATTTGGACTTGCCTTGGGCGCCGTGGGTTCTAGTTGCGGCCCTGAGTAGGTGAAGGATTGTCACAAAGAAATCATAACTTTTGCAAGCATTCGGGTTTTTCACTAACAATTTCTTAAACTAAAAACTTTCTATCTTAAAATACGAAAATTCTTCCAAGCACTAGAAAATCATCTAAAAACACCACAAAAAACAGTTATTTGATGAAAAATGTCACGGTTGTTTGAATCAAATTTATGGCGCCAGTTTTTTGGCATTGGCCACCATTTTGTTTTGTGTAAACAGAATAAGGGATTAGAGGATTTTTGTGTCTTCGTGTCCGAGAACTATAAAATACTATGTAAAATACCCTTTTGTTAGCGGTACCGTATTAGCGTAGCGTCTGAGGCACGAGAACTCTCTAATATTCCAATTGATGGCAAACCAACGATCTGTCAAAAAATAAATTCAATTGGCGGCAAGGGTCCAACCACAGCCGTACATCCCTGGTCCTATTTTCGAATATTTTCACATACGAAATTTGATACGATTTCGAATGGTTCCCATTTAATTTACATTGCTGTCAGTCAAATTTCGTATACGAAATGTACTCGAATGGTTTCGAAAATCGCACCCCTGTGCTGTGTGTTTGTTTATAAACCGCGTTTCATTGTGATTCAAAAAACCCAGGGGCGTACCACTTTTTTCTGTAAAAAAAAATAAGAGTCGCTGTAGGTCCGGTCCTGGAAAAGTGTTTTTCAGGAAGATACTTGAGAACATCGCAAACACACTCTCTGAAAATTTGAACAAAATCGCTCAAGGCATTTTGAATCTAATCTAAAGGAAAAAAGTCAAAATTTTCCGTAAATTTCAACACACTGTATTTTATTAACGAGACGTTTGCGGACACATGTACCCATGCAAAAAGTGATTGTCATCCGACTGTACTCTACCTATCATAACAAAATGCGCAACTATTTCGGACACACCCTGTATATCCTAAAGTTCCCGTTTAAACAATTATTGATTTATAGAAAATCGCACAGGTAGAGGCGTTTTTAAAAAATAAATTATTTCTTGAAGACTTGCATTATAGTTTTAGAAAAGAAAGCATCAATTGTAGGCCAAGCAATGAAGGAAGTTTACCTCAACATAATTAGAAGTTAACATTTTTTGGGGGGGATCGGTCCATTTTCATGTCGCTTAATTTTCAAGCAAAAAATTCGAAAAAAAAACACTGGAGAGTGCATTTCATTAGCAATAATGTGGTGTTTGAAAAATTGAAATCGGATTATGCATTCGGCCGCTGTTGCATCAAATGCGCGGGAACAGGCAAAACGTTGATTCAGTGACCTTGAATAAAAACATGCAACTAAACTGCTGGACAATTGCTTTCGAACAAGGAAAATTTCACCTTACTTTCAAGCTCGATATTTTTGGAACCAGACCAGATATCGACCTCCGGTTTTCACGAGCTGATAGATTAACTTTTTGTGAAAAAAATTGCTATATTGAAATTTTTTCAACTGTCATTTTTTTTTAATACAGGGTGTTAAAAAAGTCCATGATTTTTATCCCAACTTTGAATGTGTGTAACTTTCCCATTTCCCATATATGCCTAAAATAGTCCCTCCTTTGGGATTTTATAATTAAATTACGTATTTAAATTTTAGTGAAAGAGCCATTAGGGCACAACATGTTAAATTGGCACTATTTTGACCATTTTATCGCGTCAGTGTCGCATTGTTTACTCAATTGAACATAACATATTATAACCCTATAAATTTATAAATACGGAATTATAATGGAAGAAACCTTAGAAGCTGCCATTCTAGGGGGGCAAATGATGTTTTTCGGTTTTATCCATCCAAAGCACAAACAACTGACATTTGATTTAGATTCGCGCATGTCTCAAAAAATAGTGGAATAAATACTGCCTTCCAATATCCAATCACAAATAAGGATGAGCCTTATTTTATTACTGACCGCCACTATTTTTAGTCGCAAATAGGCATGCGTAGGTGTCAATAATGTCAAAATAGGAACGTTTATATTAGTGACCGTCGCTATTTGAAGGTGCCACAATTCTCAATTAACAGCCAACTCTATTAGCATTAGCCATGACAATTATACTACAAACAGAATATACCCTATTGGAATTATTATCAACTAACAGAAGCTGTTCTAAATATCTATATTTATTTGCCTGAAAAAATAATTTTCGCTTTTTAACGAATATACAGATTTCCATACACTGCTTATGATGTTAGCAACGACAACCCTTGCTGTAACCAAGAAATATATATTAATAGATAAAAAAAAAATAGCAATAACCAAATTATTATTCCATGAAATTTTAATTTAAAAAAAAAAAAAAAAATATACAATAGTAATCTCCTCGGTAATCTCTTAGGTTTCATCTTTATAGTTATTATTTTGTAGTAAAAAGGTCCTGTATTCACAATATCCGCGTGTGGCTAAATTCGCCAAAATGTTGCACCGCCACGGATGTGGTAATTGCGAATCACTAATGCCAATGCCAAACCACAACTTGCCAAATCCTGTTCAATTTAACAACACTGCTTTTTCTACCATTCCACCACGGTGCCTACACCAGCTGAATTTAGCCATACGCGGTATGTCAGAATAACCTGAAATTCAGTAGGCTTATGAAACATAACAAGTAAAACAACAACAATAATTGAAAAAATTATTTAAACAAAAACCAAAGGCAACTTTGCAAGACACCTACCAATGTCTCATTGTGTAGTGTGTAGGGAAACTAAGTATTTGTTTAACCGATCGTGTAAATTTCCAGGGTAATTTAGTGACTGTATACCCGATTTTGAATGTGATAATGAATTTTCGGGTGAGTTCTAGAAAATTCTATTTGAAAACCAAGGTAACATCAATTGTCATTCAGAAAAGAATTTCGAGGAGTTTCAGGAAAATTCTAGAACATTCTATTTGGAAACCAAGGGAGATATCGAATTAGTGACTTCACCGACGTGTTTGCTATATCAATCGATATCCAGAAAAGATATTTCAAGAAAATTCTAGAACATTCTATTCGAGAATAAAGCAAGTTATCTAATTTGTGACTTCACCGGCATGTTTGGAAATTCAATCAAAGACCAGGAAGATATTTGAAGGGGGTTTGAGGGAAATTCCAGAACATCCTGTATATGCCTATTAAGAGACAACAAGCAAAAATGGAAGAACAAAAAATTGAAGAACGTCTGCGCAAAATGTTGGAACTTCAAGAGTTCAGACGACAAAAAGAAAAACAAGAAGAAGAAGCTAAACGACAACAAGAAAAACAAGAGGAAGAGGCTAGGCGACAAAAAGAAAAACAAGAAGAAGAAAATAGGCGACAACAAGAAGAGGCTAGGCGACAACAAGAAGGGCAAGAAGACCTTGGAAAACTGCAGAAAATATTTCAAACCATACAAGGAACTGTCGCTAACCCAGAATAGAAGATTGAAGAAGTTAAAGACGATGTGCAAGAAGTTAAAAACGATTATCAGGAACTGGAAGCTGAGATCAAAGGCGATGTTCAGCATTTAAGACCAGACGTTGACGACCAAGTTAAAGCACTTGAAGATAAGGTGAATAAATTAGAAATACAATCCATCAATCCAGTTAGTGTTGGAGCATTCTATAGTATGAAAATAAAACCACCAAGTTTTGATGGTTCTACATCCTGGACCATGTATATCTGACAATTTGAAGCTGCTGCAAACACCAACGGATGGAACGATCAAGAAAAAGCTACAGCACTAATTGTGGCGCTACGAGGACCTGCTTTAGACCTTCTTCAGTCCATTCCTTTAGTCTACAAACAGAATTATCATCATCTAAGTCAAACGTTAGAACTGCGCTTCGGAGACCATTACAGACAGAAGTATTTAGAACTCAAGTTAAATCAAGAGTTCAAAAACCCGGCGAGAGTTTACAAGAATTCGAACCGGAAGTTAAAATGCTAGTGAGTTTGGCGTTTTCTGCAGCAGGGGAAGACATGCAGGAATGGGTGGCAGTATCTGCGTTTATTGATAGTCTCAGGGATTCCAAGATCCAGGAAAACATAAGAATGTCCGAGATCAGGAAAAGTAACGAAGCCCTTGTCCGAGCATTGGAACTGGAAGCAACCTTTGGTGCTTCAAGACCCAGAATACGAGCAGTGTCGATTCAAGACCCAAAGGATCAACAAACGTCAAAAGAAGATGGTAGCTTCAAGAATCTTATGAGTAAGTTCACGGAGAAAATGGAGAAACTAGTACTAGAAATTAGACAAATGGGCAACGACTCCAAACAAACACCAATACCGAGAAACCGAGTAAAATGTTACCGGTGCCAAAAGCTTGGGCTTGGATACATGCAATGGGATTGTAGACTGAGAATGTCCTCTCCATCTAGGGATCGTTCCCAACGCTTTTGGAGGTCTAGCGACGCCAGCCCTAAACATCGACCTGGAAACCTGCGTAAAAATGCTGATGCTCTGTCTAGGCGACCATGCATGAGAAAAACACTGGTCCAGCTGTGAGAAAAACAGGTCTTATCGTTGATGATGAATGGACTACCAATCAAATGAGAGAAGATCAAGAAGCAGACCAGGACATCAGGCAAATTCTTCAACTTAAAGAAAATGATGAATGTAGACCAAAATGGAGGGAAGTGTCGGAAAATCTACTAAGAGCCAACTGGTTATTCCAAAAGAACGAGTAGAAGATGTATTAAAAAAAATACAGGACGGAACTTCAGGGAGTCAACAAGACTTTGGACAAAATTCGAGAACGTTTTAACTGGGTTCACTATCATGAAGACGTTAAATACTGGTGCCGAAAATGCGACATCTGTGCTACCAGTGAAGGCCCTAAACTAAGATCTCGGGGGCCCATGAAACAGTATAATGTCGGTCTTCCATTTGAAAGAATAGCGATAGATGTTACCGGACCTTTCCCTGACTCAAGGCGTGGTAACAAATACATCTTGGTTATCATGGATTACTTCAGTAAATGGCCAGAAGTTTTCGCTATTCCCAATCAAGAAGCCATCACTATTGCCCAGGTGCTAGTGGACGAAGTTTTTAGTCGTTATGGTGTGTCACATTTTTAAGAAAACTTGTGAGATCATGGGAATTCGTAAGACAAGGACAACACCTTTACATCCACAGTCTGATGGCATGGTAGAACGATTTAATAAGATCATAGAGGAACACCTGACAAAAGTGGTCGCAAAGAACCAGCGAGATTGGGACAAACACTTGTCTCTATTTTTAATGGCTTACAGAGCAGCTGTTCACGAATCAACAGGTGAAAGTCCAGCTAGAATCGTTTGTGGAAGAGAACTCAGGTTACCTTGCGTTCTGATGTTTGGAATACGTGAAGAAGAACGGAAGGAAATTCGAGACTATGCCGATGAAGTAAGGGCACGACTTCTGGGGATCCATGATTTTGCTCTGGAGCATATTCAGCTGGCCAGTGACCGAATGAAAACCAGATACGACTTGAAAGCAAATTCAGCCGGATTTCAAGAAGGTGATTTGGTGTGGCTGTATAATCCGACAAGAAAGAAAGGAGTGTCGCCGAAATTGTCTTCAGCATGGGAAGGAACCTACACTCCTACAGAATAATCAAGAGAATCAATAATTTGGTTTATCGAGTTTAGCGCAACACTAGGAGTAAGATGAAAGTTGTACATCAAGACAGATTGACGAAATATCATGGGCGTAAAGTTGATCGGGAGGATCAACCTTAAGAGGAGGGCAGTGTAAAAATAACGCATCCACCAGGATAACACAGCAGCCAGGATGTCGAGAATCCAACCAAACTGTACAGGATTTTGAACAGCTGATTTGAGATTTTACGTTGATGTTCGAGAACAAGGTCGATCGCGGTTATTCCGGATTTTGCAAGAATAGATTAGGGATATATAAAGGCCGGTATTAGTTTGAAGTTTAAGTTTGACTGTGATATGATTTAGATAGTGATTATTGTTAAGGGTTGTGAAGACTTTAGTTGTTTGAGTTAATTATTGAATCAATTAGTGTCAGAGTGTATAGTAATGTGGAATAAATTGTTGTGTTAATTGGACTTTGATTTTGAAATAAACGGACCCAAGATTTCTGTTACGCAACTCAGAGCCGTGACAGTATCTATTTAAAATTTCAGGTTACCCTGGGCCAGTATCATCTATCTGCTGCTTGTAGGGAATGCAGTTTACAAGTCTACAAGTTTTCATATTTTCATATTGGACTAGCTATTCGTAGTATAATAAATTATCTTTAGTAAAAGCTAAAAATTATACCTAAAACTTAAAAATATTTAAACATAAGACTGCAAGCACCATTATGAGAATCGTGAATCAATACTTATTCGTACTTTGACTACTAGACCCAGATTGGTTTTCAGGTTCAAATGAGGAATCCTCGAGATCATCGCTTGAGGTCTCTTCCTCACCTTCAGCCACAGTTTCTTCTTCTTGTCCATCAGCAACCAAAAAATACTGGAGTGGATTCAACCAAAGATCACCCTAGAAATAATATTTGGATTAAAAAAATGCATTTAAAACTTCAACTACCTATATTGTTAAATTTTCAAAAAAAAAAACCTGATGATGTACCTATCATTATTATGTAATAGCATTTTTGCCATCAACATTGGAAAGGTTTACTCTCCTGCCTCTGGCCATGCAGGCACGGGTTCAATCGCGGGGCCGATCAACGTCTATGGTAATATTTGGAATTTGGTATTAAGCAAGGAACGCCATCTTTCGGAAAGCGATATAAAACTGTTAGTCCCGTGTGTCTGTGATGTGATGCACGGAAAAGATCCCTACCATCGACAAAAATGGGTCTGGCAAAATTTCCAGATGAGGTGTGACACAAATTCCCTGGCGTCGGTGATTGGTCTTGGTCGCGAAAATAATAATAATAATCCAAGCATAAAACCAATTTAAACATGCTATCAAAATTGTATTAATAAATATGGACGCATATAATCTGGATGAATACCTATTTTAGTCATTGACATGGTTTATTTCTTAGAAATTCTGATATTTAGAATACCTACATAAACTGTTCATGTAATTTTGGGGTTACGTAACATATAACTCGAAAATTGGATAAATAAATGAATAAAAATAAGAAAACACTTTGATACAAACTCAAGATTTAATAACAATATCAAACACTGGTTGCAGAAGAGTTATTCCAGAGTAAAACCTTCGGGAATGCTAGATAAATCGTTGGTTTAGTCCTTGTTCTGCCAACAGGTAAACTTTGGCCAACAGTCATTTCAGATTGTGCCACAGAAAAACAGCTAGCCGCTAGCCGCACTTATGGACATAAATAATTTCCAGATTGTCAACTGTTTGTGGAAAAAGATCCGAAAATATTTAATGGCATAGCGCATAAGGTCACAGAGACTTATGCAATATGGAAAAAAAATCTATCAACTATGAAGAAGTTAAAGTTGGATCTCAGCTATGTAACTCTTCCTGAGTTAAGCATATAATTATCTAATGTACGCCTTGCAAACCATTTCCAGGAAATGGAAAAACAAATTTCTGCAAGGAGCTTTTCCTAATCCGCAAATTGCTGCAGCAAAAGAACCTACATAATATTGAAAGAGTAAATCATAAAATTAGGCCCAATTCTTTCAGATAACTGATAAAACAATTACCTATGTAATTTCTGAACGAGTTTTAATATTATTAGGGTGGTCAATTAATTCATTGTACTCTAGATTGTACTGCATATACATGAATATTGCGTTTAGGAACATAACATACATTTTTGACACCTTCTACTTAATAGTCTTTCACTCACCTTAAAATCCTCAGCAATATCGTCAGTGAATGGATCTACATTATCATTGAACCAAGAAAAAAAACTGTATTTTAATGATTCCAATTTCCTTTTTCTGGTGGTCTTACAATTTGGATCTAGTGTAGTTTGTCCAAGCTGGACACCTTCTTTCCAAATTATGTGACTACTCTTTGAATATGGGGAATCTAAGTATATCAAAAATGTAAAAACCCATCAAAAAATTATTATTAAAAAAAAAGACAGAAATATTTACCAGTGCCTAAATGATACTCCTTGCTGAGAACTGAATTTTCAAAGTAAGGGTTCTCATCAAAAAAAAATTTAATATAATAACCAGAACGCATATCTTCCTGATTAAAATCTTCTACTTCTATATTGGTTAAATGATGTAAGCAGTCCTCCTCCTCATGTCCACTAAAGAGAGTGGATATGTCCGGATGATTCATAATCTAATCATAATTTAAGGAAAAGAAAATATTTTACATATCATGTGTTAGAAAAAACCTGAGGCCCGATTATCTATCCCAGAGAAAATTTGATCGATTAATTTATTTTCGATTAAAGGATCACACACACCACCACCATATCGCGCCAGTGTGTGATCCTTAATACAGTTTCAAGCAAACAAAAAATTCAATTTTCTGAGTGTTGAATTGTTGAAAGCAAACAAAATTGTCTTGTTTAACGTTAAATGTATTTTATCGAGATACAGTCGAGATTAGGGTGCAAAGTAAAATAATCAGTTATTATGGAAATTAACCATAGTGATCCCCGAGGTGATCCCCATCGAAAAAAAAAGTCGGACTCGGATAATAAAGTGTGAAGTGTTCACACTCATAAACATGATTCCATCGTATGAGAAGTTATTAGAGAAGAGCGCCAATGATCAATTGGTGGATAACATTGAAACACATGGCATAAGTACTTAGTGATAACCAGGCTGGGTTCAGATGGAAAAATTCTTGTGAAAGTGCATTGGAAACTGTTCTTTTCAACTGGAAAGTTGAATTGAATGAAGGCAAAATGATACGTATTGTATTGCTGGACCTTAAACGGGCATTCTAAACGATTAATTGAGAATAATTAATACTGCTAAAATTGGAAAAATATGGAATTGGAGGAATAAGTTTGACGATTATTCAAGTGATCTAAATCAGGTGTCAAAGTACAATGGTATATTAACCGCCACAAAAACAGTATACCTATATGGAGTACCACAAGGAATAGTATTGTCCCCAACTCTTTTTATAATATACATAATAAATTGTGAAAGTTATTGAAAACTGCAAACTCCAACTACACTCATCAAAATAGTCTAGGGAACAAGAAATATCTGTCTTTTAATTTTATTATGAACAACCTTTTTCAAAGATAACGTGAATATTATTTATTAAACAAATCTTATCAAATTTTCCATATTGGCTTTTTTTTGTAAGCAAATATTTTAGAAATAAAATCAGCGAAAAATTTCTGATAAGTATAGGCTCTTGTTCCCTAGACCAGTTTGATGTGTGTATTTGCAGACGACACCATTAAATACTTGGAGACAGAGTTGAGAAAAAATACACATTTTGAACGTGGGGCCGAGTGGTTTGTTCTAATCGCTTAAACTTTAAATTGGCCTGCAAATGTACTCCCAGAGCCTCAAACTCGCAATTCATTAAGTAGGTACAAATGTTCGGGAAAATTTTATTGTGAACGTGTGAATGTTACTTCGGCACATTTATCAATATTTGAAATCATCTTATTATTTACAACCCATCCAGAGACTGAGTCTAGATCCTCTTGTAATAGTATACTATCCTCTGGTTGAGCGATAGGTTTAAAGATCTTGAAGTCATCAGCAAATATTAGGCTCGAGGAGTGATTGACATTACTGGGCAAATCATTTAGAAAAAAAGCAAAAAATAAGGGCCCTAAATTACTTCCTTGGGTTACACCAGAATTTTCCAGAAGCAAATTATTTTCCATTTTTGAATTTTTCTCAACAAAATAAAACAACGAACATATATTGTGATATTCTTGATTTGATTTCCAGTAATCTCACACATGTTAGTGTTAATCCAGCCATTCATCCTTTTTGATCAAACGTATTTAGCTTTGGAAATACGGTTGGGTTGGATAATAAATCTGATAGCACTCCGCTATTTTTTGAATATTATTACTACAACTTTGAGTGGTAGGTATGCTGATTATAACACTATCACTTTATTCTTGGCTAGCTGTGACTGGGATTAATTATCAGGTGTTGATATTGATACAATGGTTGATTTATTCTATAGTAAGTTGCAGCAGGCAGTGGATTAGTTTGTGTCAATCAACAGGGCTGAAAAATGTGACTTTCCGAGCTGGATGTCTAATGATCTCAAAGGGTTGAGAGTTCTTAAGAAGATAAAAATTATAAAAGTAGTGGTTCTCTGAATGACTACAATAAATTTGCTAGTATTCGTAGGGAGTGCAAAAATCTCTACAATGAATCCAGATCCGCTTACTTGAGAGATGTTGAGTCTAAAATTCAAAGCAACCCAAACGAACTTTGGAGATTTGCTAACAATAAAAATAATACAAATTCGCTACCAAATAATATGAGTTATGGCGACTGTCAAGCATCAACCACTCAAAGGAATCGCTGATTTGTTTGCTACATTTTTTATTCAGGTTTATTCACTACTGTCTGATAATGAGAATGCCAATATACAGGATGTTCATTTTAAAACTCCCAAAATTATCTCGGAGTTGAAAAATTTTCGAAAAAATTCCTGAAACACGTCAACTATAATTTAAGGGGGGATGAGTTTTTATGCCAAATTCACCTCCCCCCTTTCAATCCCCCAGCCGCCAGAGCCACCCCCTAAAAAATCTTAAATGGGAAAGGGGGTCAAGTGATACATCTTTTTGGAGGGTTTTTAATTCCATACATTCTGGTAGAAAATTTTGATCCCTAAGTTCAACTGTTTTGGAAATATTGACAGTTAAAAATTGACTTTTATTGCTACTTTGACAGGCTATAAAACCTCAACGGTTAATTTTCGAGGAAAACCGATCTTACATTCTTATCGTAGATTTTCATCACCAACTTTGATTTTAATCGAAGATTACATTTTTAACCGGAATTTTTATTCATGGAATAAATTCAAAGTTGCTGTCAAATGATAGTTTATGAAAATCCAAGAAAAGAATGTAAGATCGGTATTCCTCTAAAATTAACCGTTTAGGATTTACAGCCTGTCAAAGTTGCAAAAAATTCAATTTTCAACTGTCAATATTTCCAAAACAGTTGGACTTAGGGATTAAAATTAGGTACCAAAATGTATGGAATTAAAAACCCTCCAAAATGGTGTATCACTGGACCTCCTTCCCATTTAAGATTTTCTAGGGGGTGGCTCCAGGAGCTGGGGGGTTGAAAGGGGGGAAGTGAATTTTGCATAAAAACTCCCCCTCCAAATTATGATTGACGTGTTTCAGGGATTTTTTCGAAAATTTTCAGCTCCGAGATAATAGGGGTGGTAAGTTTCAAAATGAGCACCCTGTATATCAGCATCATGATATTCAATCAGACCTAAGTTTAGATTGCTTGGATGTAGAGATGATGTATGTATTGTGCTATTGAGAAACTGAAAAAAAAACATTAGGTAAGGTTCCAGATGGTATCCAACTGCATAAAATCTATTCTAAATCTTTGGGCTCTGGAATGTTTCCTAAAAAATGGAAAACAAGTTTTGTTACACCTATCTTCAAAAGTGGGGCAAGGGATGAAATTGAAAACTTTCGCGCAATTTCAAAAATATGTTTTATTTGGTGAGATTCTTGAGCAGATTGTCACTATTGAAATGACTCATTTCTAGAGCCACACATTGATCAAAGTCAACATGGCTTTTGTAGTGGGAGGTCGACTACAAGTTACTTACTGGAGTATACTGAGTACTTGTCGGGGTCTTTGGAGGGTCTCTGTCAGGTGGATGCAATCTACACAGATTTCTCCAATGCCTTTGATAGGGTTAATCATCAGTAATCATCACATTCTAAATAAATTATCGCTACATAGCTTATTTGGAAGTTTTCTTGAGCGTGTTGAAAGGTATCTATCCGAAAGATCTCAGATTGTATTTATTATTGATTGACAATCCTTTTCTATTAGAGCTTGCTCAGGGGTACCACAAAAGGGGTTATCTATCGCCATTAATGTTGTATTCAATGTTTTCATTAATTATTTATGTCAGTGCATAGAAAATGCCACTTTTTTACTTTTTGCGGATGATTGCAAATTATTTTTGATACTTCAAAATATTACAGACTGCCTAAAAAAAAAATCAGCAATATCTTTACAATTATAATTTGTGGTGTAGGTACAAATAATTGTTTATTCTTGAACGCAGACAAGTGTAATGTAATGCGATTTTTTAGAGTTCATAATGCTATAATAGTAAAAATTACTCTGTTAACACTATGATTCTTAATAGTGTCGACAAAATCAAAGATCTTCGAGTATTATATGACCATAAAATTGATTTAATGTTCACATTGAAAACAGCTACAACAAATGTTTCAGATTGCTGGGGTTCATATTTTGGAGGAAATTGAAAACATATACTGTTTTAAGTTGTCATACTGTTCCTTAGTTTGTTCTATTATTGAATCTGCCAGTCCAGTTTGGAATCCGCATTATATTAATACAAGAAAATGCTAGAGAAGATACAAAGATTTTTGCGAATTGTTAATTACAAATGTAAAATACCAAAACAGGACATTGATTAGGTCTTCTTGCAAAATTTATTAAATATCGACTTTTCAGAAAATAGAATATTTATGTTGGCTGTTAGATTATTGTTTAAAGTTATGAATAATAGTGTGGGTAGTCCCAGATTGCTGGAACTGGTCTCTCTAGAAGTTCCTCAAAGCAAAGGATAACAAGGAATTTCTCCTCATATTGGTTTTGATAGGAAAAATTATTGAATGAACTCGGCTATGAACAGAATGGTTAGTTTATTAAATGAATTGGATAGGTATTGATATATTTGATGTATCTCGTGGACAATTTGATAGAATGATGAAAGAGTTTCTCAAAAAATTTCGAATACCTTAATTAGGAATTGTAATTAAATTGTGGTCAATTTTTATTTGGCGTTTTTGTTGAGTTTGAACGTGTTATTGTTTTAAATTATCGACATTATTGTTGAAAATGTGAATGGTAAATCGGGAAAAAGAAATATATTTCAAAAAAATTGGACTTCGAAAGTAAGAGGTTGGACACAACACCTTTTGACCCTTTTTGCCATGTGGTTGTAAAGATTTGCAGCTTGCTTCAAAAAAATTGATAAATATAAACAAGATTGAAAAAAAATATTGTATTCAAGTACAAATAATTGATTCTAGGTAAAATTAATTGATTCTAGTATTCAAATCAAATCAAAATAAGCTTTATTGTCAGAAAACCAAAAGTAAAAAAGTTTGACTGACAAAGCAAATACTCAAAGCTAGATTATGTCTAGGATTACAAGTTTTCAATATTGACACAAGCATAAATAAAATGTAAAAAAAATGTAACAAACAAATAATTACTACGTTTTCATGGAGTTTTCAAATCGTTTTGAATCCAATCCTCTTCTCCGTTTTCATGCAGAGGCAAAATTAAAATTGAAATCGAATTGCATGTTTTTGAATTTAAATCTCGATACGATCCCAAAAAAAGGTGAAACGACGTTGAGACTGAAATCGATTTCAGTACCTGTTTTCATGGCGTTTTCAAAACCAAAACCGTATTCAAAACGATTTCAAAACTCCATGAAAACGTAGTTAGTAAATGAAAACAAACGCAAACAAATTAGAATCCGTCCCTAAGATCCAATAACGAATTAGCAAACATTTCAAAATATAAAACAAAATAAAACTAGCAGGCAATACCCAACTTAAACGCATCATCATCCTTCTTGGCACCGATTGACACAAGTTTAAACAATTGAGACACATTCAATTTTCATAAAATTCGCCAATACTATAGTATGCCTTGACGACTAGATGGTTCTTCACAAGCTGTCTAAAATTTTCATAAGTACTACTATTCTTAATTTCCTCAGGCAGATGGTTGAACATTTTAATACTCTCATAGATAACAGAGTGTTTTGTTAATGTGTACTTTGGTATTGGTAAGGGTAGTTTAACTTGATGCAGATTATAACTGCTATTCTGTACAAAACCAGAAAACTTCTCATAAATCAAACTCACAGATCCCAAAACAAAAATACAAGGTACCGTCAATATCACCTCCCGCCTGAATAATGGTCGACACGATTCCCTGCATCTCCTACCACACAAGTAGCAGACAGCTCTTTTTTGCAGAACAAACACCGATTGAACCGATCTCTGAGTTGGAAATCCCAGAAAGCAATGCCATAGCATATATGTGACTCTAGCAGCGAGAAGTATACAAATGAAAAATAGTTCTGACAATGTAACAGCCTGTAGCTAGTTTTTTGGTTAGAGTATCAATGTGAGTTTCAAATTTCAGTTGCAAGTCTATATGCAATACTAAAAACTTTATGATTGATTGGCTTTCCAGAGGCCTTCCTTGAGTTATCCAGGGCACACCTAAACATAAGTACATTTGTTTTTTTCCACATTAAAATACAGTTTGTTCAAATCGCACCAGGCTTTCATTGCCAAAAGATCTTGCTCAATTATAATCAATAATCATTATAACATAAGTTAAACGTTAGGCCTTCAAAAGCATGCTCAGGCTTATTCTAGGTTTGTTCCAACACAGCAAAAAAAATGTACTGTCACAATTCTGCGCAAAGCCTGAAATTTGTGCATAGAATCCAAAATTTGTATACAAAGTGGTTTTGAAACCGTTCAAGTTTTTTGACATGTTGGAACAGACCCATTGAGACTCATGTATGATTATACAAATGCTCTATAAACCCTGCTTAGGACATTAAGTTGGTTGTATGAATTATCATGTTGTGTTTAGCCATAGCACTTGATGAGCCGCTTTGCCTACAACTGGTATTGCCAGACACTAATAATGTTTTCCCCGGTCCCCTCGCCTTTCCCTAATTTTACCATGACCAGGAGCCTACTGCCAGGTACATACTACTTATTTCCAAAAAGCACTGGAGAGTAATACTATAAACCAGTACTACTCACCTCGAGTGGCCTAACAAATAGAATAGGTACCTCTCGGATTGTTCTGAAATTGGACTTCTAAACCTAAGAGATTTTGGTCACCCTAGATGGAGTAAAATCCAATCCATAAAGAATATGAACTATGGAAAAATTGAGGGAAAAAATATTGATCTCAGTAGATCCCACAGAAAACATGATGCAAAATAAATGGACCTGTATACTAATTTTTAGTTTTTACATTTAGCTACATTTTTTTATTGAAAAGGATACAGCAGTGACCCAAAAATGAGGGATGTTCCGGATATATTCGTTTCTCTTAGCAAAATGGTGTTTTCTCAAACCAATATATTTTTGTTCGATCTGTAGAACTTCTGCAGAAGCTTTTTCATTTAAAGCATCCAAATTATTCTGAATTGCATCAAGTTCTTCCAAATTTCTCTGAGTGGTGTGATCATACTCGGCTGTGCGATCAGATTCTGGTAGCCTTTTGAACTTTTTATTTGCAGTTTCTCCAGACATGGTGATTTATTGCCTTTTCTAGCCTAGGGAGAACTGAAAACAGTATGGTGCTAAAATTCAATAAAGAGAATGGGGCAGCACCCATAATAAAAACAAACTTTAAAGCTCCCGGTACTCTCAAAAGCTGTACTCTCAAGACACTAGTGAAGGAAGAAGGAAGGTCAGAACAGGAACAGCAAACAACTGCTGAGTCTGAGTAGTGCTGGGCTGGATTCGGCTGGAACCTGGAACTGACCGGCCACTGAATTCACCTCACCAAATCCAAAACAAATGCATAAACAAAACACAAAACAGTCCAATAAACTCCAATTGTGAATGTCAAAGTCAAACCAAACACAGCCCTAGCGATTTCTTTCTGTGTGTAGCCCCAAGCCTGGGGCAAATTTTATTTTGCTATTTTATGGGTTGTTAAAATTGTGCGTCGGGGATCGCCTGGTAAAAATCGACTGACTCTAAACGGGTGGGTGGAATTCCTGGGGCGTGTTCAGATTGAACAGTCCGGGCGGAGCGTTACCAGATAAAGGGTGCACTCCACTTTAGTGCCCGTCTATTCGCCCAGTCTGAACGGTCAAGACCCGGCGCATTCTCTTGTGCCCTATCTCGTAACCCCACTGTCTAAAATAGGTTTGTTCCAACGCGTCAAAAACCGTCTCATGAACGGTTTCGAAACCAACTCTCCGTGCGTTCGTTATTTTGGTCTGTGTTCTCCGAGCTTGACATCAACTGCTCTGTTCGCTCGCTGGTTACGTGATTACGGCTCCGCTCAGCACGCTCTGCTCTTTGAGCAAAATACCGAACTCAAGGTCTGTATACGAATTTTGGTTTCTACGCACAAATTTCAGGCTTTGCGAAGAAACGTGACGGCATTAGGCAATTTTTTGCGAGGATAATCAAGCATAATCTGCTGATTATGCTGGGTTATGCGATGTGTCGTCATACTCCTCCAACTCCCTCACAATCAAATTCTGGGCCTGCGAGTGACGTCACTATCAACAGCTCATGACGGCACCCGCAGACCTCGATGGAATGCTTGCGATTCAGGCTGTGCTGGTGAGTTAATTTTTTCGTCGATTTTAAATGTAGAAAAGGTGATTTTCGGTCTGTTCTCACAGAAGAAATTAAGTATTCTAGATCCTGGAGTATCCCAGAATTTGATGGTGGGAGAGATGGGGGAGTATGACACAAATGACACATCACATAATCCAGCAAAAGATTAGGCTTGGTTATCCTCGCGAAGAATTGTCTATTGTACGTTTCTGCTCTGTTGGAACAAAGCTTTGAGGTGTTTTCTGGCGTTTCAAATGTCTTAAATCATTTTTCAAAACTGGTTTAAAACAGTGTCACAATGACGTCCATCACTTCTCGGCACGAGCAAATGTATATTTTTGAAACCATTTCAAACTGTCAATAGACCAATCCAATCAAAATGGCGGCCAGCGGCCAATGCCAAAAAATTGGCGCCATAAATTTAATTCAAACAACAGTGACATTTCTCATCAAAAAACAAAAAACTGTTTTCTGTTTATTTTGAGGTGTTTTAAAGGTGCATCCCTCGGTGCATCCAGACCGGTGCAACAAACAGCGCAAAACGTTCGCGAGCGTTGCAGAACGTTTTGCGCTGTTTGTTACACCGGTCTGGATGCACCTTAAGATAACTTTCTAGTGATTGGAAGGATAATTTCGTATTTTAAGATGGAGAGTTTCCAGTTTAAGAAATTATTAGTGGAAACCCCGGATGTTTATGTGCAGAGACTTTTTGGTTTCCTAATATGGATTTCGTCAGATATTCTCTTTTTTGCTGCAATCCATGAAGCCCTACCAAGTACAGAAAAATCGCTTTTCAACCTGTGTTTTGTCCCTGCAGGAACGGCATGAAACGAGACTTTCTCGCCATTAGAACGGCTCCCACAACTACGTACAATACATAACGTATGCATTTTTCAAAAAATCAACAGTACAGACTTTACACAAATCAAAAATCGCAATAAAACCTAGTGCTTATGGCATTGGCCTCCATTTTGAATTTCTTGTTGACAGGTCGTTGGATTGCTTGAGAGCCGTTTTAAGCCTAGTACTCATAATCTTACTCATAACTGTGAAATTCGCTCTTTTTTGACATTGCTTCGACAATTTGACGTTTTATGCGTGAATCAAACGTCAAATTGTCGAAGCAATGCCAAAAAACTGCGAATTTCGCAGTTATGAGTACTAGGCTTTACACGTTTTCTTTACGAAATTATTGCCGAAATATTTCGTAAATTTACTATTCTTGTTTAGCTTTTTACCTGTTTGACACGGCAAATTAGCAAAAGTTTCGTGAAAATATTAGTCTTAGAGCCGTTTTACACAGCAAAGTTTCTTTACGAAATTTCTTACAAAATTATTGCCGAAATATTTCGTAAGTCAACTTTTCCTGTTTTACACGACAAGAAAAACTTACGAAATATTTCGCCAATAAACTTTAGAAAATGTTTCATAGTTTTTGTGGGCGCGGCCGAGAAAATGCGTGAGTTTCGGCGCACACAATTACAAAATAAAAGGCGCATTCTTGTCCTTCGAGCCTTATGAATCCGTCATTGGATTTCCTATGTAATAGATGAAGATAGACTGCTTATCGGTGGGTCAACCGGTGAAAAAATTGTTGCGCCTAAAAAAATAGGGTGGGAGGGGGAGTACCAGCTGGGCAAAGCCAAAAGTAAACAAAACTTTATTTTTGGAAGGAAAACACAAATTTAACTTTACGAAACTGCAGAAGAGTACAAAGATTCAACAACAATTAAAAAACGCAAGTTTTATATGTGTTTTGGTTTACCAAAGTATGAGGTTATGATTTGATATTATTGATGGCAAAACGTTACTGCGCCTGCGTGCGTATGACTAATATTTTCACGAAGCTTTTGTTAAATTTTATTTGGCGTGTCAAACAGGTAAAAAGCGAAACAAGAATAGTAAACTTACGAAATATTTCGGCAATAATTTCGTGAATAATTTCATGAAGAAATTTTGCCGTGTAAAACGGCTCAATACGCAGACGTTTTGCCATCAATAATATCAAATCATATCTAATTGTTGCTGAATCTTTGTACCCTTCTGCAGTTTCATAAAGTTGATTTTCTGCTTTTCTTCCATAAATAAAGTTTTGTTTACTTTTGGCTTTGCCCAGCTGGTCCTCTCCCTCCAACCCTATTTTTTTGACCGCAACAGTTTTTTTCACCGGTTGACCCACCAGTAAGCATCTAAACATTCCGGTATAGGATTCGGCACCTAGGCATATTTCATTGGTCCGTTTGAATTCGGACCGCCAATTGATGCGGAGTGCCGAAATCGGTACTTGAATGTTGAACGGTGCTGAGCCTCAGGTCAGAATGGTATAATACTATGTGGAGTGCCGAATTTAAGGTCAAAATGTTAAACAGTGCTGAGTATCAGGTCCGAATGTTGCCATGCGTTTGGCGCGGTTTTTATATTAAATCAGCTGTCTACCTCCTTCGTGTTCCTCTTAGCTACAATTTTGCGGCGGATGCGGTTTATTTCGCCGTTGCTTCATGTGTTCTTGTACTTAAACATGCAAGATGAGTTTGCCTGGATCATTTAAACACTTTCAATGTGGTGAGCAAATTTACCGAGCCAACATTTTGGAGGAAAACGATATAAAGCAATGGATAGAAGAGTATAGTGATATACACGAATTGGAATGTGAAGTCAGCGAAAAATAATTATAACAGATTCAAATGCAGGTTTGTGTTCAATGTCAATTCAATGACGTAGAATCTTCTTGGATGCGAATAGATTTGGGAAAAAACATTTTTTAGATATGTTTTGTATGCCATCATAGTGCTTATAAAAAAGTGGATCAAGAAAATAATAAGAAAGGAAAATCCAAAAACTGCTGTTGCCTGGCTTCAATTGATATTTTAATTAAACTAAGCACCACAGATATCAAAAAAAAAAGATAAACATATCAGGGTATTTATTTTCAAAATTTTCTATTCTAATTTGCCAGGTTTCAGGTTTTTATAATCTCCCCCCCTGGGTCCGCCACTGCAAATTATTATCCAAGATTTTTTGAAATATATATCGTTGAAATAAAATGAACGTGTAACAAAAAGTAAATAAAGTTTGTTTGTTCATTTTGTACCGCGCTAACGGAGTAACATTCCAACCTGCAGCTGGGCACTGTTTAACATTTTGACCTCTGACTCGGCACTTCACATACTATATGTATATACCATTCCGACCTGAGGCTCAGCACCGTCCAACATTCAAGTACGGATTTCGGCACTCCGCATTAATTGGCGGTCCGAATTCAAACGGACCAATGAAATATGCCTAGGTGCTGAATCCTATACCGGAATGTTTAGATGCGAACGGCCCGGGCTACATGTGTTTTAATTTTCATTTATTTAGCAATGAAAAAAAAAACACTAGGTATTAAAAAAAAAAAATTGCTAGCAAGTACCCTCTATGAATTAAATATAAAAATAAATATGATTAAAACCGATTTCTACTATTATTTATGCAGAATTCTTTTTACGACTATGATAATGGCGTATGGCGTTTCCGGTGAGTACATAGGGTTGCCAAGTTTTTAAAATGGCAAGCGGGAGGTTTAAATTTTTGGGTGCCACGCCCAAATTTTTACAAAACAGTCGTTAAAACACCCTGTCAGTCAAATTCAAATGTGACTTTTGTCATCTTTTGTTAAGGGCCCCACATACTACGTTCTTTCTCGTCGGTTTTAATCGCCGCGATGAAACACGACAATCTAAAACCGAAGTGGGTGGTAGAAAACCGTCGTTTCTCACCGTCGGTTTGAAATTCAGTCCGAGCTTGATTTTTGGCACGACGGTTCAAGATTTCGTTCCAAAACCGTTGTATCTGGGTCCTTCTGCCAAATAATTGCGTAGTGTGTGGTGAAAACAGGCTGACGATGAAACATGACGTTGTTAATCGCGACGATGAAAAACGACGAGACAGAATGTAGTGTGTGGGGCCCTTTAAACATTAAACAAATTACTTGCCAACTCATTTTTTCCAATTTTTCCGGAAAATGTGATTAAGAATAGTGATATTACCCCCGAGAAATTATTTTCCTTTTAATTACACCTTTATTTTTACTCAAAAGCTATTTAGATAATTAGATCTTCTTAGAGCAACAAGAGTAAGTTTAAATGAAAAAGCTTTTGAGTCTTTGGACTACTTTGGAGTACATGTGTAATCGATGGTAGATGGCAAGGTTAGGTTGCCTGATAACTTTTATGACGTCATCTGGGGTGCCTCAACTAATGGCCTCGACATAATGCAAATCTCCATAAGGCACCCTAGATGACGTCATCAAATTACCCATTATCAGACAAAAACGGTACGTGTTTTCAAAAAAATTATTTTTCTTTAGTCAAATGCGAAATTGTTGAAAAGCGGGACTTAGTAGCAGGAGTTTTTTTAGAAAGCGGGAGCTTTTTCTGATATGTTCTTCGGCGGAAGGCATGACAAAAAAGCGGAAGTCTCCCGCCTAAAGCCTAGTACTCATAACTGCGAAATTCGCATTTTTTTGACATTGATTCGACAATGTGACGTTTGATACACGCATAAAACGTCAAATTGTCAACGCAATGTCAAAAAAATGCGAATTTCGCAGTTATGAGTACTAGGCTTAAATCGGGAGGGTTGGCAACCCTATGAGTACATAATGAAAAAAAAAATGTAAAATCTGTTTTTTTTTTCTAAAGATAAAAGTCAAAATGACATTATGTTGGCAATACAATGTAAAATTGTCAATGCTTTCAAATTTCGTATGTAGACACGGCTTGTGTTGTGTTGCCTACATAGTTACTAAATTTTGGACTTGGGGAATTATCTTTAAAAAAAACAGACTTTATTTCCATGTGTTTTTATAACAGACTGACAAAAAGAGATGCAACTACACCTAGGGCGCATTAAATCTATCAAATGAAATCCATATTAATTTAAAAAATCAAAATGCAAACAGGTGCTAGGAAACCTAAATAGGAGCATTCAATTGTTTAAACATTATCTAATGTTTCCCTGACAACCTTTCTTACTTTTTATAATGAGCAAAGCAAATTTGATAGTCAGCTATAAATAGCCAAACTCCCAGGATGCAGAATGCTTTTTCAATAAATCAAATAGTCGACAACATCGGAGAACTGAACAATGGTAACACAATGGAACTGGATTCAATTGTATCAGACGCAGACGTAGTAAAATTGAAATCTGGTAATTATTTAAAAAACTACGACGAAAAGGAGTTGTGTTTTGGAAAAGACGAATCAGAAGAAGTTTGTGCTAATGCTATTACAGTGAAGAAGATAGACGACGAGGCATTAGAAGGTAAAAGGCTCAATATTCCTACTTTCCATAAATGCCTAAATTGCGAAACTCATTTTTCAACTAAATACCAATATCAAAGGCATCAGTGCAATTTTAATTCTGAAAATTATGTTGGCATAAGTAGCCAAACTCCCAGGATGCAGAGTGTTTTTGCAATAAATCAAATAGTCGACGACATCGGAGAACTTAACAATGGTAACACAATGGAAATGGATTCAATTGTATCAGACGCAGACGTAGTAAAACTGAAATCTGATAATTATTTAAAAAACTACGACGAAAAGGAGTTGTGTTTTGGAAAAGACGAATCAGAAGAAGTTTGTGCTAATGCTATTACAGTGAAGAAGATAGACGACGAGGCATTAGAAGGTAAAAGGCTCAATATTCCTACTTTCCATAAATGCCTAAATTGCGAAACTCATTTTTCAACTAAATACCAATATCAAAGGCATCAGTGCAATTTTAATTCTGAAAATTATGTTGGCATAAGTAGCCAAACTCCCAGGATGCAGAGTGTTTTTGCAATAAATCAAATAGTCGACGACATCGGAGAACTTAACAATGGTAACACAATGGAACTGGATTCAATTGTATCAGACGCAGACGTAGTAAAACTGAAATCTGATAATTATTTAAAAAACTACGACGAAAAGGAGTTGTGTTTTGGAAAAGACGAATCAGAAGAAGTTTGGGCTAATGCTATTACAGTGAAGAAGATAGACGACGAGGCATTAGAAGGTAAAAGGCTCAATATTCCTACTTTCCATAAATGCCTAAATTGCGAAACTCATTTTCCAACTAAATACCAATATCAAAGGCATCAGTGCAATTTTAATTCTGAAAATTATGTTTTGAAATCTTCCCAGGCAAGCACTGATAATAATATGGATCACAGTTCTAATGGACAATATAAATGTAGCGTATGTCCCAAAGTATTTGCCAATAAAGAGCATTTGGGAAGTCATCAAAAGTGCCATATTATTAACCAATGTGAATTTTGCTCCAAAAATGTAATAGGGGAAAATAGATTGAGAATTCATAAAGAGAATCATTGTAAAAAAGCTGAAAATGTTAACAAGTTCTATCGCAGCGACATTGTTGTTTGGAAATGCAAAAAATGCCAAGAAATATTTTCCTGTCTTCAAAATGGCAAAAATCATCAACATTTTTGCCAACAAGGTAAGCCAACTAGCGACAAGGATATCGAACAAACTTCGACAGAAATATTATTGCAATGTGAGTTTTGTAATCGCACTTTTATTGATAAAAGTTTCTTACTCACACACCAACGTAATCACACCACAGCTAAAAACTTCGAATGCGTCAATTGCGATAAGGCATTTGATTCGTATCCCGTAGCGGTATCTCATTGGATCAAAAAATGCTCAGAATTCAGTAACATATTTTATCTGCCTAAATTAACTTATTGCGAATATTGCGATAAGACTTTCAAAAATCACGCTTTGCTATACAACCATAAAATTAAAAAGAGACATTATACACAGAAATTGTTCGTCTCTAATCTTGAGTTTGGAGATCAAGTCACAGAGGACAGCAGTAAAGAAAATATGAACCAATTGATTGAAGATATTTTGGAGACTTTGCAAGTTCCCAAAAATATTGATAATCAAAATCACGGTGATATTGCTGAGCATTTTATCAAAGAAGAACCTGCTGATGAGGATGTCCATCAACAAAGCCTTTTGAAGATCCCCTATTGCGACAAGAAACCTAAATATCAGAAAAAATCCCCCAAGAGTAAAAAATGTTTAATTACCACTGAGGAAGGGTTCAAATGGCAGTGCGAAAAATGCATTCAAGTATTTGACGTTATTGACAATTTGGAGACTCACAAGCAAAACCAACACGAATCAGTTTTTGCTTGCAGCACTTGCCCCGAGGTAAGTTTAGATTTTATATTTTTCGGATTTTCCTAAATTTATCTCAAAATTCCCAGGTATTCCAGAGCGCTAGAGCGCTATTAACCCATACAAGGCTTCACAAGAGTTTGAAACCCTATGTGTGCGACATTTGCGGACGCAGTTTTTCGCAAACCTCGCATTTGGGACAACATATGAGATTTCATCAGGGTGAGTTTTTTAATTACTTATATTTGAATTCCAATATACATGATGTCTGAAAATAAATGCAACAAAATTTGTTCAGAGGTTCTTAAAAACAAGATAAGCGACCCGTATTTTTCAGTTTTGGTGAATGGCCCTCTAAAATTCGTCACATAATAGTTTTTTTTTATATCTCAGAACCATGTTGTACGAGAATCACTATGTTTGTTATACACAGAGGTTTTATGACATGAAGTCCATGAAGAATTGGATGATGCTACGCTTTTAGGCGGAGGAGCCCCTTGAGACACTTTTTCGTGAGCCCCCTTTCTTTTCCACCCTCACAACTTTGGTTGCGTAATTGTTCAAGTTCAAATAATATTATTCAGTTAGAACGCTCATCAGGAAACCCGAACTTAGCAGCAGAAGGAGGGGTACAATAGATCAACCTTGGTCGCAGTGCAACTGACACCTCCAACACATACATACATACATACATATATATATAGAATGCTCCTTCAATTTAGAAATCTCTTGGTCTCTCGAAATGTTTCCGTTAAACACATGGTTTTCGAGAAACATGGCAAAATGTGATCAAATGCATATCTACACCATTCCCAAATCCAAGTGGCAGTAATGAAATTAAATATAACCTGAATTGTGAACAAACACCTGACCTGGGTGATCCAGCCTTCCTATTGGTTGAAACGCCCTACGGCCCTACCAGGACCAGTGCGCATGCACGGAGGATATTTGATAGGTTGTAATGGAAATGACTAGTTATGTCATCATTACTGCCGCTTGGATTGGGTTCAAGTCAACTGGTGTTTAAGCATAGTTAAATTCAACTATTTTAATTGCACTGTTCGATTTATGCAATCAAAATAAACCCTTGTAACAAAAAAATAACTACCTGAAGGACACAGTTAAAGAAGAAAAAAATTATAAAATTTGATATTAATACCCACCAATTTAAACAGACGCCAAAAAGATTATGACGTCACCGCCCGATTGTGCAGAGAATCATCAACAGATTGCGCCATTGAAGGATCTTTTTTTTTGTTATCAAATATAAAGGCTCTCCCAAATTCGCAGCGGATTCATGACGGAGGATCCGCAGCGAGTTTCATGGCGGATTCCGGAGAAAGTCTCACACCAAAGCGCACATATTCGCATCTTTTACGTCATATTTTCAGTATCAAATTTGCTTGATGAATGCTAGTGCTAGTGTTAAAAAAGACATATTGTTTTCTTGCCTAAAAAAATTTATACATCATCGGATGAAGAAGCAATATTGTTCCTTGCAGTGGAAGAAAAGAGTTTAATTTTGACCTAATTCTTCTCCCAGTTTGGTCCAAACCTCATCCTTTTTGCGCACATTTTTATAGTCCTTAAGAGAAAGGTCATATAGTAGAGGCTACTTTCGAACTAATTCAATAATTTGTTCCATTTTGATCATTTTTCACTTTAAAACGTTGAGGAATTACTGCAAATCGGACCAAAAACGCATTCGATTGCGAATTGAGTTTCCGTGCGGATAAAAACGCAGATAAATCGCAGCCAAACCGGAAAAAACCGCGCCAGTTTGAACTTGCCTATTTACCGCAGTGAAAACAATTTGTTGCGAATGCCGCTTAGGGCCATATTCTCCGTAGTTCATAAATCCTGGCTTAGTGGAAACGCTTTGCTTTTTGTGTGACAAAGCCGAGCTTTTCCACTAAGCCAGGCTTTATGAACTACGGAGAATATGGCCCTTAGAGATCACTGTTCTTGGAGACCCAAAATGCCTGTCCCTGTCTGCAGTCGAGGAATGGAATCAATTTTCACTGAATTTCGTGAAATTATAATAGCAAAAATATCATTCACTAAACATTTTAAGAAATATATACCAAGAATGAAGAAGAATGAAGAAATAGGTGGATTTTCAATATTTTTGGCTGGATTCAAATTGGTACAATATTTTCAGGCCATTCAGCGTAGAATCCGTTTAACTGATTTTAACCCTGAAAAACGATACCTTTGTCCACCCTTCGTCGACTAGGTAGGTACACAGCACTTTGCGACCCAATACCGGCATTGTTTTGTTTTTTTTTCAAAGTCGTGGTAGTACATCAGTTAAAGCTTATGGTATTTATTTATTTTGATTTTGTTTTATTTTTGTGGTCACTAATATGTAAACAAGTTGAGTTGACGATGACGCGATTCACAGCTGTTTTCACAGTGACAGAACAGCCCAGGGACTCCGTGTCATGTAGAATTCTACATCTCAACAGGATTTTATAGGATCGGCCCGTGGGCTCGGCACACTGTGCTGTGCGGCATACGATATGTCGAATTCTACATGGCACGGAGTCCCACCAAGATGCGAAATGCTACAGTATACTGTAGACTAGACTTTATAAGACAGTGCGGCATATAGTGGTATTGTGTGGTACTTGCGGTCCATGACGTCACGCGCTCCTTTACAGTAAAATTCAAATTATGAATTTTAATAATTTTTTTTAAAAGTTAGTGATAATTTTTGGACAAAATAAAACAGCACGGGTCTCCCAAAAATCGATGTAGATTAATATTACGCAATAAAAAAAAGGCTTAAACACCAGATTCTACTCGTTAATCGTAGGTGGTTGGAGTTCGCAATGAACAAATAAATTCACTACCTACGATTATTAGATAGGTGATAGGTATACAGTGTGGGGCACGAAAAACTTTCCACCCAGGTTTTCTCAGGTGTTAGGTGATTATTTAAAAATCGATCGAAAACGTCAATTTTTGTTTCTTGGGGGTCACATTTATCTGGTATTTTCACCCCTTACCTGTCAACCCCTAAGTGGGGGTGACAGGTACCCCCAAAATTTCAAATGAAAAGGGGGGTCGAGTGATACGTCATTTGATAGGTATTTTCATTAAGATTACCTATATCTCCGAAGTTTCAAGTTGCTACTATTTACCCTGTCGAAATGGCGGCTTGTCAAAGTTAGAAAAAATCAATGGAAAAATGCTCTGTGGTTTTTACCTATTACCTACGCATAGGTGTGACAGGTAAAAACTATCAGTTTAGATTATCGAAAAAAAAGCATTTATCCTAACTTTGACATGCCGCCATTTCGGCAGGATTAATAGTAGCAACTTAAAACTTCGGGAATATAATCTTAATGAAAATAGCTACCAAATGGCATATCACTCGACCCCTGTTTCCATTTGAAAATTTGGGGGTACCTGTTACCCTCACTTAGGGGTTCACAGGTAGGGGGTGAAAATACCAATAAAATGTGTCCCCCAAAAAACAAAAATTGACGTGTCTGAGCGATTTTTGATTAAACACCTAACACCTGAGAAACTCTAGGTGGAAAGTTTTTCGTGCCCCACCCTGTATACAATTTCATACGAATCACGATAATACATTCAATCACATTGCCATTTTCAACAGAAAGTGTTTGACAGATTGACGAAAAAATTTTATTAGACAGAAAAATTTCTGAATTGAATGTGCCTTCTAGTCCTAACTGAATAATATTTTTTCGAAAAAATCAAATACACAACCAAAGTTTCGAGGCTTCAAAGTCGCCCACGGAAAAGTGTCTCAAGGGGTCCTTCGTCTAAAAGCTTAGCACCATCCAATCCTTCATGTCATAAAACTGATAAAACCCCTGTCTAACAAAAATAGTGATTTTCGTACAACAGGGTTCTGAGAAATAAAAAAAATACTATTCCTAATGGCGAATTTAGGGGACTGTGATTGCGAAGGTGGGGGACATTTTCCAAGAACAAAAAATACAGGCTCCCTATTTTTTTTTTTTTTTTGAAGAATCTTTGAACAAATTTTGTTGCATTTATTTCTGGACATCCTGTATAATAGGTACAGGGGGAAAAACTGTATTTTAACACCCACCAGCAACTGTAATTACAGTTGATAGGTGAAAGGTGTACTTGAATACAAAAGTTGTAGCATTTTATCTGAACCGCCAGAATTTTCGATTAGATTGAACAAATGAGCAACGCAAAGCAAAGTAAGAAAATATGTCGATGTTAACTTTTTTTTTTTAAATGGAATGTACTTTATTTTCTTTCAAATTCTTAAAGTTCTCTTTTCTCCCATTCAGATTATACCGGGTGTTCCACTGAAAACTGTCAATAACCCATATCTTGAAAACGGTTATCGATAAAAAAAGAAAAATCCGTTTGGACGGTTGGAAGGGGGAACCAAAACAAGGTACTTTTCAGCTCTTCGGCGGTAGCCAGGCCGAACCTCAAAATCTTAAATGGCATTATAGGTCATGTGATACCATTTAAAAGGTTTTTAAATTCTCTAAACGAATCTGAAAAAAAAAATTATACAGAGACAAATTTGAATTGTCAGAACATAGCCCATGCTTCGAATTGACAACTTTGTTCTCTCGAGGAGGTGAACACTGTCAGGCACAGTGAGGGGAAAGGGGATCAAATAAAAATAAAATCTTGATGATTGCTTCGAAATTCTTCATGATATTATTTATTTTGTATAAAATCGATTTTAAATGACATTTAAAGTCCGTCGTTTTTAATCTGATACTCCAAAGGAATGTGAGTCTGGTGGCACCCTACATTAGAACGCTAATGGTCACCTGACGTCACACCTATTTTTGCCTCTTCACCCCCTCGCTCCTCATACGGAAAGTGTCAGATAAAAAACGACGGACAATACCTGTTCCAGCAGATCGACGTTTTCATCAAAAGTAGTCACCTTTGAATCTGGATAATTTTTTTTTTTGCAGATCCATTTATTGTTATTAAGGTATCAAGGGTATCATAAGGATATTAACGCTTGAGGTCAATAATGTATTTTCCGAGGACCTCTGGCCCGAGGGATATGCGTTGACCGAAAGCGTTAATATCCTTAATACCCGTGGTGCCTTCAACGTTTATTGTCCGACTTAATTATTTTTTATGTGAGAAAATTTTGAACGAATTTTGAAAAAATAAATCTAAAACAAATCAAATACCTGCAAAAAAATAGTATTAACGCCCTAGGGAATTATTTCCTATTT